ACACTATTCCTACCTGAATACTCAATTTCATCTATCAATGTACTAAGTATGAATATGTGAGCAAACTGTGCTCTGTCACTGCATTTACCAGGTTGGGCTTAAAAGCCATTAATTACATCAGAACATCTTTGGTACTCCTCATGCTTGAACCCCAGTTACCTTCCTTACTCTGAAGGGCGGCCATCCCTTAGAGAGCTTACGGGTTGCCCATTTCTGTGTCACTCTGAATTACTCTGCAGATAGTTCCCTTTAGTTAACAAAACTCTACAATTCTTCAGAGAATGAAAAACATATCATAATATACCTTTCAAAGTTCTCTATTTAAATCCGTTGATTTTAAGAGGCTCAGAGGTGGAGGAAGAATTAGAACTAAACATTTATCACAAATGTATGTGTGTGTGTGTGTGTGTGTAATCAGAGGTCACACATTTTATTATTGTTTAGCCAAATAAAAGTTCATTGTATGCTTGTGCAGCTTTCATTGCTATTTAGCAAATTAGAAACTTTAGTCTACAAACGGTTTGGGGGCAGTTAGTGCCTAGAAAACCTACATGTACACCAAACACCTACGAAATCACCTTGAAATCCCCAGTTACCAAGGGCCTACACTTGGCTGTTTGATTCTAAAGGTGTAGATGGGAAAAGCTGGCAAAGGACACCCAAGATGACACATATCTTCATGCCACATGCAGGGAAAAATCACAACATGTCAATGTGTCTAACATGAACACAGAAACAACCTCTTCTCATCTTCACAACACTATGAACTACAGCAACTAAAGCAAGAGTTCACCCTCACTGAAGAATTTAGTAAACAAAGGGAAGATGGATAATAATATTGCAAAAAGAGAGGGTGGGTTGGGAATGCCAATAGGAAAAGGATACAGTGGGAAATGTCTCTGGATAATACTGAAAAATTCACTGGAAATTAAACACATATATACCACAGTATGAGAATTCCACTAAGAAGACTTTGTCTTAAATCAGCTGAAAAATTATGCATATATCAAAAAGATATATGGGATTGGCATGGCAGATTAAGCAGCAACTTGGAACATCTGGATCCCGTATCACAGTGCTGGTTTAAGTCCAGGCTTCCCTGCTTCCAATCCAGCTTACTGTTAGTGTGACCTAAGGCAGCAGATAATGATTCAGCAGCTGGAGTCCCTTCTACTTATGGGGCAGAAGTAACACAGAGTGCTAGGCTCCTGACCTCAAACTGGCTCAGCCCTGGCTGTCACAGGCATCTGGGGACAGGACACAGCAGATGGCAGATGTCTCTGCATCTCTGCCCCTCCCTTTCAAACAGATCAAAAAGAAAGAAACCTTTGTAAAAGGCACATAAATAAGCAAATTTATTATACCATAAGTTATCATAACAATAGAAAGCAACCTAAATATTTATAGTGGGCCACTGTTCACACACACACACACACACACACACACACACACACACACAACACATTCTCTAAAAAGAATACTATGTAGCACTGAAAAGAACAGAAAAGCCTAAATCTGCAAGACATACACAATCAAGTGAAAAAAATGCAAGGTATATAACAGTAACCCCAGAGCAAGGCCACATGGGATATGACGATGCATGGATAATGTACGTGAACACGTGCATAAAGGTTGGGTATCTTACTTTTCTGTGTTGTGGCTTCCTGTGAAGATGTATAAGAGACTATAAACAATCGCACCTTGGGGAAAATAACTGTGTGAGGGGGCAAGGCTGCAGAATTTCCTTCTTATTTTAATACTTGTCCATGCTATTCACTTTTTAATCATATATATTTTAAATTCTATACAGAAATATACAAAATAATTATAATCTAGAAAGATATTCATTGGCAGATATTATTAGCATCTAAAAATTACTAGATGTCCAAGATATAAAACTACCATTTCAAAAGCAGATGTTTTAGAAACATTCAACATTGTATTTCTTTGATGTTTTATGCACTTCATCTGCCAACGGGATTTGACTTGATTACCTGGAAACGCCATTTGTGAAAACAGGAGAGTAACACAGAAAGGATGGTGTTAATATCTCAAGGATGTACAAGGCTACAATTGTGGAATAACACATTAAGCCACCATCTGCAATGCCAGCATCCCCTCAGAGTGCCAATTTGACACTCTGCTGCTCTACTTCTGATGCAGTGCCCTACTCCTGTGCCTATGAGAGAAGTGAAAAGACAGCCCAAATACTCAGGTCCCTGCACCCACATGAGAGATCCAGATGGGGATCCTAGCTGCTGGTTTTGTGTTGGCCCAGCCAGGAACATTGTAGATATTTAGGTAGTGAGCTAGTGTTTGGAAGATTTCTTCTTCTCCCTCTCTCTGTAATTCTGCCTTGAAATAAATAAAACGAATCTTTAAAAAAAAAAAAAAGAACAACAAAGAATAAAAACACATGCAAGATTCATTTACAAAAAGAATTTACCAAATCCAAGCATGATTTAATCTTTTTATCCACAGTGAATGCAACCCCAGAGGTGATCCAACTTACAGTGTTAATCTGCTAAAATTCAACTAAGGCAGATGGACACAGTGTGACGGGCAACAAGCCACAACTGACAGTGCGATGTGAAATCCATATGTGAATATCCTTTGTAATAACATGCACTAAACATCACCAAACCTAATTTAGTAATATGGATCTTCAAAGTATCGTCTTCTTACTATTGATCAGATCAATTCATTTGCAAGGAGTTGCCAGTAAGCATCAGGAGCATCACTTACACGTATTTCCGGAACCTGACTATGCACAGCCTCCACTGGAACAGTGCCTATGGAAGTGTGAGCATGGCTGCAGTCCACCAAGGGGAAGATTCCATGTGAGGGAAGAGTAAAGGGAAGCGCTTCAGGACTGAGTTAGAAACTAAGCCACGTTTTACGAGGACACTTGGAATTATACTAATGCGCAAGAGACAGGAGGTCCAATATTCAAGATTTAGAGCAAGATAACCAAGTCCTTGCAAGAGGTGATAATGATTCTGGCTGCTCAAGAAGTGATAGCGATTTTAAAAATCAGAAAATATGTTTTGCATGGGGAAGAGGAGCTCCCCATAACAAACTAAAGGAAAAAGTAAAAATACAACAGCCAATAGTGATGAACTACAGCCCCGTTAGTAGGTGAGATGCATACAGCTGATTTTCCTATGACAATGGTTACAGACATGAATAGGCACCAGGCTCACCCAGGTTGTTAAACTGCAGATTACTGCACTCCACCCCCCGATGATCTGTTTAAGTGAATCTGAATTGGACCCAAGGAATTTGCATGTCTAACAAGCTGCTGCTGGTCAGAGGAACCACATGTGGAAAACTACATCCCAAGAATAATTTGAAGTATACCAAACACTGAATTCCCTCAATCTGTCTCTTCAGAGGGCATGGTATAGCAAACCTAAAATAGTGAGAATCGCATCCTCCAGTAGCTGTGACAGATGCAGGCCTGCTCAGATTTGGTCCAGGCAATCTTTTAAACACAGTTTTTCTCTGGAGGAAACATACAGGGTTATGAATTTTCCTGGAACATTCCCAAGAGACAGAACCAACGTATACCTAGGAAATGAACTCCAGGCGCGTGGCAGTCATCCCTGAGGGGCTGAGAGGAAGAAACAGCAGCAGTACCTGCACCTATCTCCAGACCACGGTGACACTGCAGAGCTCATCAAACCACATCCACCAGGACAAAACCAAACAGAATGCAGAACTGCAGGACCACAGAAAGACGCCCAAACCCACAAACAGGTAAGTGATAAGAGCCCATGAGAGTACCATCAATGAGAATTCTGTAACAGTCCTTTGCTTCCGAAACTGTCACTACAGAGACCTTCTGACCACTCAAACATCTTTTAAATTTGCAGCAATAAATAAAAGTTGCCACAATAAAAAAGCACAGGCGAGGTCACTAGAAACGTGATGAACATCATTCTTCCAGGTGTCTAGATGTTGTTGAGAAGTTAACATTTTGGATGTGGTCAGCATTTCCAACAGCAGACTCTGAGTAAAGCAGATCATCTCCATAATGGGGAGGGGTCTCACTGAAGTCATTGAAAGCTTTACTATAAAAACTGAGTCCTCAGGGAAAGAGGTACTCTGACTCCAGACCAAGCTGGCACCCAGAACTAAAACAAGAACTCCTCCTGGGCATCCAGCTCGCTCAATGCCCTGCAAGTTTCACACATGCTCATCCACAAATCTGTGAGTCAATTCTTTAAAATTTCTCCCATTCCATTTCCCCACCTCTCTCTCACTCACATACAGGTATTTGTCTCTCAAGACCCTCAGCACAACCTCTGACATTTCACAACATCCTCTTACTTAATAATTATCTCATATTTCTAAATGAAAAGGACCTCTTCAACGTTTAAAATTACCTTTTAAAATGTACCAGTCTACATCACTATACATAAAACACATAATAATGAGAAATAAGTCGTTTCATGTGGTTGCGATGCCTCTCAGTTTATATCACTGTTCCATTCCATTGCATGAATCTACAGTGCCAGGGTTTGCTCTGTTTTGTATTGTTTTGCTTGGTTGGTTTGTGTTTAGAGGCTTGTGACCAGGAAGCTTAGTCCCAATGTGGTGGCACTGAGGTTGTGGAACTTTGAAGAGGTCAAACCCATAGCAAGGCAAGTAGTTTGTCTGGGCATCACTCTCAAAAGGAATTAATGTTGCTCTCCCAAAGCGAACAAGTTCCCGTGAGAGAGGGTTTTACACAGGTGACCGCCTGGACTCTCCCAGGTCTCCTGTTTGACCCTCTCATCACATGGGTCTTCTACAGCCACTTGTGCCATTATGAAGCTGTCCACTACGGGTCTCTTAGCCAATCCCAGAAGAAGCCTGCATCATATTTCCTGACCTTCCAGAGCAATGAGTTGACTGGGTACTTCTCATAAATAGCCCAGCCTCGGGTACCTTGTTACAGTCAGAATGGACTGAGACAGCACACGCTGTGAAGACAGACCACAGAGCCAGCGTCTCACCAAGCATCGATCCTGGTCCAGCTGCTCCTGAGAACCCTTGCTCAGCTTCCTCTTCTTGCTGGGCTGTTTCATCACCCCTTCTGCACTCCTTAGCCGTGTTTTTCTGCAAAACAGGTCAGCATAAAAAGCATTATAATTCTTGTTCTTCAGAATCACGAAAGTACACAAGGAAACATGCTTTCTGTCATTGGCTTTTATACATAGTCTGATAATGATCTAATACAAAATTCACCACTAGTTTCAGAGCCCCAATATAATCATAAAATAATGGAGCAAGAAAGGTTTTGTAGCTCATTTAAAATTTGTATTACAATGAAAACAGCTGTCACTGTTTGGTCTTCTCTGTGATCAAATGTTTGTTTTCTTGCTGAAGGGAACTCGCCCACCAGACACTGCAATGTCCCACTGTTGCTCTGTACTCACATGCTCTGACTGTCCACAATGTCAAGGTAAAGGAACGTATTCTTGGGAACAGATTTTATTGATACAAGGCAAAACCCCACAATCTGGAACAGAGAAAAAAAAATCTTTAAGTTGTAAATCTAATGTATTAAGAGTATTCTTCACTATAGTAACAGTGTAGTCATTCTTTGAAAAGTTACTCGGAATGAATTTTCTTTAGAGCAGGTCAATTGTTTTTGGAGAACTAATCACCAGTTCTGTACCAATACCACCAGTGCTAAAATTTAAAAACTAAACCAAAAGTATTGACTGGCAACTATGTTAACAATAGACACTTTTTCACAAAGCTTAATAACACTGAATCCTCCAAGGTCCTCAGGTGCTTTAGGTTGCATCTACCGAGAAGAAAACGCATACTTCCCAATTCAAACATAACACCTTTGTGGTTGCCAGCAGCCTAGCATTTACTGAGCCAGCCACTGAGGACTTGCCCTAATTAGGTTCTTGCGCTTCACCATTTCATCACAACACACTCCATACATTGTCACTGTCATATTATTGTTTGTCCAGAAAAAAACATGAAAAGTTTCTATGCCAAAGAGTAGTGTCAACACAGAATTTAGTGACAATCAAATTCCCTTTAGATTAGTTATTACTAAAAATTTGCCTTTTTTCTCTCTCTTTTTTTAAATATCCCAGGCTAGGTTTCCTTTTATTTAAGATTTTTTTTTATGTTTATTGCAAAGTCAGATATACAGAGAGGAGGAGAGACAGAGAGGAACGTCTTCCATCTGATGGTTCACTCCCCCAAGTGACTGCAATGGCCAGTGCTGAGCCGCTCCAAAGCCAGGAGTCAAAAACATCCTTCAGGACTCTCACACGGGTGCAGGGTCCCAAAGCTCTGGGCCATCCTCGACTGCTTTCCCAGGCCACAAGCAGGGAGCTGGATGGGAAGTGGGGTTGCTGGGATTAGAACCGGCGCCCACATGGGATCCCGGTGGGTTCAAGGCAAGAACAATAGCCACTAGGCCACCGCACCAGGCCCTTTCCCTTTTTTCTTAAACATTTCTTGAATTTATCTTCTTCCTCTACTCCCATCAAGGATTCTGATCACCTGCAATTTGTTCACTACCCAATATGTCTTTTGTTTCTCAGCACGAACTTCCGCTGGTCCCTCAACCTCAAAACAATTTTCTTACTCGCACATGTTTTGGCCACAGCACTTAGCACTGCACACTATTTTATTTTGATTTCCAGACAAATCTCTCCGAGGCATCCCCTGACAAAGACAGTGAACTGCTGAAGTCTCTGGCTCACAGCACACTCTCAATCTGTTTGTTGTCCTGTTCTGCATAAACATGTCTCTCCGAATTAGGACTTTCAGAGCTCTCAAGTCCAAAAAATATTAGTTTTTGATTCACACATTACTCCTTTTTCAATGCCGTATCATTACAGTGAGGCTACTTCACAAACTTAATCCCATTCCATTTTTCTTCAATATGCAAAATTTCATAAAGAAAACAAACAGCAAACACACTCCCTCGTATTGATCAGTTCCTAGTCAGATGATGTTTATGTCTTTAAGACAGGCACTTACCGACTAAATTCAATAACATCACATCCACTTTGTAGGATGTAAATACAATTTATCATGCCTAGCCCCTGGTAATACTCTGAACATCTATGCAAATGAGTAGCTTAGACTTGACGCCTTCAGCAAAGTATTACTGCCAAAGACCTCAACATTGCTCAGGCAGCTTTCACAATGAATAATGTCCCGTGCCTTGTCAAACTGGAATCTGCTGGCTCTGAGGATCTTCTCACCATCAAAGGGATCAGCCTCGCTTATCCCTGGCAATGATCTCAACAGAAAAGCCTGGTTTATACTATTGTATTTTTAGGGAAAATATAAAGTCTCTACACCAAGAAGCAGTTTCAAAATACAATCCAGTAACAACAGATTATTATTAGAAATTGTAAAGAGGTAACCAACTGTGCATACCATATTTTACTATCAAACAATACAAATAATCAATAAAATTTAATTTTTTTAAGATTTAATTAATCTTTTTACTGCAAAGTCAGATATACAGAGAGGAAGAGAGACATAGAAGAAGATCTTCTGTCCAATGATTCACTCCCCAAGCGGCCAAAATGGCCAGAGCTGAACTGATCCAAAGCCAGAAGCCAGGAACCTCTTTTCGGTCTCCCATGTGGGTGCAGGATCCCAAACCTTTGGGTCATACTTGACTGCTTTCCCAGGCCACAAGCAGGGAACTAAATGGGAAGCGGGGCTCCCAGGATTAGAACCGGTGACCATATAGGACCCCAGTTAATGCAAGGCGAGGACTTTAGCTACTAAAATACCATGCCAGGCCCCTAAATTTTTCAAAAGTGGAGAAGAATGATACAGAGAGACAGAGAGACAGCAGAGAGAGTCTGATACACAGGACACTTACAGAGAAGTATTATACAACCAACTAGAATGTGTTTGTCACATCCATTTTAACCAATTCAAGAAAACATTTCTTTAAAGATTTATTTATTTCAATTTGGAAGGCAGATTTACAAAGAAAAGAAAGAAAACAAAAGAAATCTTCCATCCACTGGCTCACTTCCCAAATGGCCACAACGGCCACAGCTGAGCCAATCTGAAGCCAGGGACCAGGAGTATCCTTCAGTTCCCCCATGTGTGTGCAGGGCCCCAGTGCCACCCTCTGATACTTTCCCAGTCCACAGGCAGAAGGTTTCACTGGAAGTATAGCAGCTGTGACTTAAATCGGTACCCACATGGGATGCCAGCCCTACAGATGGAGGATTAGTACACTTACTATGCTGCATGGACCACCCCCCCACCCAGAACTCTTCTTTAGCTCAATATTCTTGACAACGTATCAAAATACAGGGATGGTTCCAATTGTCCCTGACACAATACATGGCTTACTACCAAGGGGCCCCAAATGTCACCTGAGCCATGTGATTCCTTGCTAAATTTTGAACAAATGCAGTCGTTCAGATTAAGGAAGAACAGCATCTCTATGAAATGCATGGAACAAACACATCATTGAGGGGAAGTAGAGGCAGATCAGCTAGCAATCGGCTAACAATACCCAAGCACTAACTATAACACTAGACAACACTCAGAGGACTTTGGGGCCGATGCTGTGGAACAGCAGGTAGATGCCACCTGCACCTCTGGAATCTCACATGAACTCCATTTGGAGACCCAGCTGCTTTACTTCCAATTCAGCTACCTACTAATGTGCCTGAGAAAGCAGTGGGAGGCAAACCAAGTGCATAAGCCCCTGTACCCACACAGGGGATGTAGAAGAAGCTCTATGCTCCTGGCTTCAGCCTGTCACAGCTCCAGCTGTTACAGACATTTGGGAAGTGAACCAGCAGAGAGAAGATTTTATCTGTCTTACCCTCTATTTCTGTAGCTGTGCCTTTCAATTAATAATAAAATAGTTAGAAGCCTTGTGAATAGTATTTATGTCATAAAAATATGGGATATAATATATGTAAATGATCAGCATTTCTACAGAGCCTTTAATTTGGAAAGCCTTTATTGATTTTTCACAAAATACCAATAATCAGTTTTACCTTCCTTGCAGTGGGAATTATGACTGCACACTGCCTAACACACAGGGGTGGGAAATGTCCAGCCACGGGCTATGTACAAGCTCTGGCCCAGCCAAGACAACAGCAGGCAGGTCACAAAATTCAATAAATCCAAAAAGCAGAATAATTTTTAAGTTGATAAACACTGGCCCGTAAATGATGTTATAAATATCCAAATGGCCCTTGGCAGTAAAAAGGTTCTCCACCCCAGTTCACACTTGTCTGGCTGACCTCCTAGTTAGGTAGACAAATTAGACTGTTATGTAGGAGCATCTGAACACTTTCAACTCTTCATATTAAAGGAGTCTATTAACAACTACAGTAATTTACCATCTGGTTATGTCCAGGTGTTATATGATAATTCTTTCAAAAAGGATTTATTTATCACTGGTTTTCACAGCCCACGGCATCACAGGTACACTGGGGCAATTCATCAGGTGTCCCAGACAGGGAAAGCAGCACAGGAGTAATGGCCCACTACCCAGGAGAGCCATCCTTCGCCACTATCCTGGGGCAATATTAACATCACCACCTTTCACTCCCCAGATGTCCCAGGGTGAAGAAATCACACAGCACTGTGTGGCTAAGAAACGTTGATAAATTAACATTCATGTAGCTCATGCCATTACGCTCCACACAGGGACATGAGTGTTCAGAGGAGGGAAATATGTCCAACATCCACTGGGGAGGAACGGGTCAGCTGCTTCTAAAGTGCTGCATAGAATTTAAAATGATTTAACATCAAGGCATTGAATAATAACAGTATCAGATAGAATAATAATCCTTCTACCTATTCCTACCATCACATGGAGTCCTACCAAACATAAACCTCAGTTTACACACAGAAACATCAGCACAGGATTAAGTCTGGTGTGCTTATTTTAAGTACTATCTGTCTGAGTTCTTTCTAGAACAGTATTTAACACTTTATTCAAAACAATACAGTGGTTAACATGGAAAAGCATGTCACCTTTAGAAGAAAGTATCTCTTAGAAGCCAAAACTAGTAGCACATAAAAGGTCAAAAATAAAACACAAGCAAGAAGGTAATATTATTCTAAAATTTAAAAATAATAATAAA